GGCATCTGCCCAGGCTAGAGAGCCCGCCCCCGTAGGGCAGCGACCACCAGTCCGCACTGTTGGGGCGGGGCTCTCAGCCCCTTGGCTGCGCTTGTCTCTCCTTAGGGCCGCTTCGGGGTCTTCATGGCACAGATGCTGGCTTTCCCAAAGTGACTGAGCCCAGAGAGAGAGGAAAGTGAAACCCACAATGCCTCCTGTGAACTAAGCTCATCCTTCGTACAGTGTTTTGCTGATTAACCACATTCAATGTGGGAGGAGATAACGTGTGTGCTAAGTCACTTCAGTCCTGGCTGACTCTTTGTGACCCCCTAGAGACTGTAGCCCACCAGGCTCCCCTGTCCCTGGGATTCTCCAGGCAGGAGTACTGGAGTGGGTTGCCGTGTCCTCCTCCTGGTTCCCGACCCAGGGGTTGCACCTCCAGTCCCTGCGTTGGCAGGGGTGCCCCACCACGAGCACCACCGGGGAAGCCCACTGAGTGCTTGGCCTAGCTGCTCAGGCGTGTCCGACTCTGCAGCTGCACAGACTGCGGCCCGCCAGGCTCCTCTGTCCATGGGGACTCTCCAGGCCAGAATGCTGGAGTGGGCGGCCTCTCCCTTCTCCAGGGGATCTGCCCAAGCCAGGGACTGAGCCCGGGTCTCCCACATCGCAGGCGGATTCTTTACCATCTGAGCCACAGGGAAGCCCAAGAATGCTGGCCGCTGCTGCGGCTGCAGGTCAGTCGCTCAGTCGTGTCCGACTCTCTGCAAGCCCGCAGGCGGCAGCCCGCCAGGCTCCCCGTCCGGGGTTCTCCAGGCAAGAAACCTGGAGTGGGTCGCCATTTCCTTCTCCAGTGCATGAAAGTGCAAAGGGAAGGAGAAGTCGCTCAGTCGTGTCCGACTCCTAGGGACCCCATGGACCGCAGCCTCCCAGGCTCCTCCATCAAGAATACTGGAGTGGGTAGCATATCCCTTCTCTAGGGGATCTCCCAACCCAGGAATTGAACCAGGGTCTCCTACATTGCAGGCGGATTCTTTACCCCTGAGCCACCAGGGAAGCTCCACTGAGCCCTTATCGGGTACCAACTTCAAGGAGAAGGAGGGAGGAGACTACACCGGGGAACAAATACCAGGAAGTAAAGCTCATGTCCGAAGCTGGCTGAAACAATATTCATGTCTCTTTTTCTATACCTATAGCTCTCTATTGCATATCTGTTTTGTATCTACCTATCCAATTATGTAAATTTTTTGCTCATGTATAAGGATATGTTCCTAGATGTTATTACTACACCAAATGGTATGTGCATTTGTAATTTTGTTGGACATTGCCAAGATGCTCTCCGTAGGGTCCAACTTACTCACTTCCTAATGAGTAGTCTTGCTTAAATTTCTAGTCTCTTAACTTTATTGGGTTATTTTACACTGTTAGAGTTTGTCATACTTTCTATGAAGTATTGAAGCCTCTAAAACTGCAACTGTTAGGTTTAAGGGAAAAATTTACAGTGATGAAGCTATGTGTGAATAGCAGCTTTCTTAGCAATATATGGTGCCTGAATAAATAATGAGTTGCATTTGATCAGAGGAAAATTTAAGCTGTTTTTGTCAGAGACTTCCAAGACTGTCCTTCCAGGCTGTAGTTCTCAAAATGTGTTCACAGAGCACATGTCCTCTGAGAGTTTCCACAAGCAGAAGACAGAAAACATATTTAGGAAATATGAAGACTCAAAAAGCACATTAGTAAACTAACAATTCTGTGAAGTCTTTCAGAAATTAAATCTACTCAGTTTAATATTTCTCAAGCTTTCTTGACAACGAGACCTTTTATTTTTAACATAATATATATTGCAACAATACTGCATATGGTTTCCAATGGAACATGTTATGTGAAATTTTCTGACAAGGCATTCATTTCTTTTCCTTTTTAAAAAAATTGCAGTGAAATTCACACATCATAAAACTTATTATTTTAAAATGGACAGCTCTGTGGTTCTTAGCATATTTACAAAGTTGTGCATGATCACCACTTTCTGATTCCAGAATATTTCCATCACCCTCAAAGAAACTCCATGCTTACATAGTTTCACTCTATTCCCACCACCCTCCTATCCCCGTCAGATCTGGAAATCACTGATATGCTTCTGTCTCTGTGAATCTGTCTTTTTTTGACAATTCATATAGCTGATGGAGAAGGCAATGGCACCCCACTCCAGTACTCTTGCCTGGAAAATCTCATGGATGAAGGAGCCTGGTGGGCTGCAGTCCATGGGGTCGCGAAGAGTCGGATACGACTAAACGACTTCTCTTTCACTTTTCATTTTCATGCATTGGAGAAGGAAATGGCAACCCACTCCAGTGTTTTTGCCTGGAGAGTCCCAGGGACGGTGGAGCCTGGTGGGCTGCCGTGTCTGGGGTCGCACAGAGTCGGACACGAAGCGACTTAGCAGCAGCAGCAGCAGCAGCAGCATGTAGATGGAACCATGCAATATATTGCTTTTGGAGTTTGGCTTCTTCTACTTTGCATAATGTTTGCAAGGTTCATTCATGTATCAGTACTTAATTGCTTTGTTTTTTTATTTAGAAAGCTTTGCTATTTTGCATCGAGAGAACTGAAACTTCATTAAACAAATCAGAATTGTATATAAAACAATAGTGATTTTGTGCTAAGCCTTCAGCAGCAGATTTGTGTTGAAATATTTCATCTTCATTTTGATTCAGAGCTTTTGGGCTTTTAGGTTGCTGTTCCTTCAAATATGTGGTTTAGGTACAAATGTTTGCAGATGTTCCAAGCTTGATTTATTAAAATAGTTTCAGCACAAATCCCTTATGCAATTAAATGCCTATTCATGTGTTCTTTTCACAGTGAAATGTTGTTAACAAATAGTTCTAATATAATAGCATAACAGTTAAGGGAAAACTTGGGTGCAAGTGGCTAATAGTTACAAGCTGGTGCAAGTTTACAAAAAAGAGCATGTATTTTTTTAAACTCTGATTAAAATGCAGTGTTTGCACTTTGTGAAAATTTGGAAAAGTACAAGCAGTATCTATTACTTTTAATTCCAACACCCTACGATAAGCACTCTTAATAATTTGCCATTTTTTCCAATGTTCTTATCGTTATTAATCCTAAAAGTTCAGGAATTTCACCCCAATTTGTCCTAATGAGCATCTCTTTTCATGAGTTTTGCTTACTGGTTTCCTGAATAGCTTCCCATCACACGTAGGAAAACTCAGTGTCAGCAGCAATGGGAGAAGCAGCACAGTTGTCACACTTGTTCGCTTTGATGTAAATAATTTGCTTAAAATGTGGATATTAACTTGTTTCAGTTTGAATTGCATCTTTGAATTTTGAGATCATTTTAACCATTTAAAACAGAAAACTTTTAAAACAAAAAACAATTTGTGTGATTTACACAATCTACTTCTACTTTATTTTTTAAAATCCTTTAGTCCATTGATCTCCATAGAACACATATTTTGTGGAAATCTTGATTATAACTGTGGTGTTGGAGAAGACTCTTGAGAGTCCCCTGGACTGCGAGGAGATCCAACCAGTCCATCCTAAAGGAGATCAGTCCTGGGTGTTCATTGGAAGGACTGATGCTGAAGCTGAAACTCCAGTACTTTGGCCACCTGATGCGAAGAGCTGCCTCATTGGAAAAGACCCTGATGCTGGGAAAAGTTGAGGGCAGGAGGAGAAGGGGATGACAGAGGATGAGATGGCTGGATGGCATCACCAACCTAATGGACATGGGTTTGGGTGGACTCTGGGAGTCGGTGATGGACAGGGAGGCCTGGCGTGCTGCGGTTCATAGGGTCACAGAGTCAGACACAACTGAGCAACTGAACTCAACTGAACTGATTATAACATATTCATTTGTGATTTTACTGAAATATATTTAATGAAAATATATTCCATGTTATAAGTATAAAGCATTTTATGAATTATGGATTTTATTTCTTATCCAAATAGAGTACACAGACGTCTAAAATAAAAGTTAAATTTGACACTTTGGCAATTTCAAATTCTCAGTCAATAAGTGCTTTAAACTTACATAATTCAAAAAATTGTCAGTGTGGCAATATGCTTGCCCAAATATGAAGGTAGATTACATGCTACTCAACACAGTATTTGATGCAGTGTTGTGCTGTTCAGTCGCCCAGTCATGTCTGACTCTTTGCGACCCCATGGATGCAGCACACCAGGCTTCCCTGTCCTCCGCTATCACCTGGAGCTTGCTCAAACTCACGTCCATCGAGTCAGTGATGCCTTCCAGCCATCTCATCCTCTGTCATCCCCTTCTCCTGCCCCCAATCCTTCCCAGAATCAGAGTCTTTTCCAAAGAGTCAGCTCCTTGCATCAGGTGGCCAGAGTATTGGAGCTTTGTATGTAAATATTCCAGTGAACACTCAGGACTGATCTCCTGTAGGATGGACTGGTTTGATCCTTGCTGCCTAGGGCACTCTCAGGAGTCTTCTTCAACACCACAGTTCAGAAGCATCAAAGATTGATGCTAAATATTTAGACATAGGGCTGCGGCATGTATTTATGTGATGGGATGGGGAGAAAAGTGAAGAAGTCAAATTCTTTTAAGCCTTTTCTAGGAGATTTCCTATAACAAAGTGGCTGCTAGTGTCTGGTGAAAGTGGTTCTGGCTGATGCAGAGATGGAAACGTGGAAGAAGCGATGTGTACGTGTATCAACCCCTGGTCTGTCTGGGCCCTTTCACCCTCTTTTTCAAAATAGAAACCGTGTCGGGCGTACGTGCATATCAGTCATTCTTGTGCACTGCTCTGATCACTGTGACAACTTGGCCTCTCTCCACACGTCTATTGAGAAGACACCTGGGGAAGGTAAGAGCTCCCACTTTAGGCTGGAGGAGTCCTTTCTAATTTAGTTTCTATCATCCCCACATTCATAATGTTACATTTCTTTCTTAAACAGATCGATTATGTTTTGGCTGTGCTGGGTCTTTGTTGCTGCTCTGGCTTTACTTCAGTTGTGGTGAGCGGGGGTGGGGGCCCCCTTCAGGTGCGGTGACTGCGTGGTGGCGGCCCCTCCTGTGGTGACTGAATGGTGGTGGCCCCTCCTGTGGTGACTGACTGGTGGCGGCCTCTCCTGTGGTGACTGACTGGTGGCGGCCTCTCCTGTGGTGACTGACTGGTGGCAGGCCCTTCTGTGGTGACTGACTGGTGGCAGGCCCTTCTGTGGTGACTGCATGGTGGCGGCCCCTCCTGTGGTGACTGAATGGTGGTGTTCCCTCTGGTGGCGGCCCCTCCTGTGGTGACTGACTGGTGGCGGCCCCTCCTGTGGTGACTGACTGGTGGCAGCCGCTCCTGTGGTGACTGAATGGTGGTCCCTCTGGTGGTGGCCGCTCCTGTGGTGACTGAACGGTGCTGTTCCCTCTGGTGGCGGCCCCTCCTGTGGTGACTGACTGATGGTGTTCCCTCTGGTGGCAGCCCCTCCTGTGGTGACTGACTAGTGGCAGCCCTCCTGTGGTGACTGAACGGTGCTGTTCCCTCTGGTGGCGGCCCCTCCTGTGGTGACTGAATGGTGGTGTTCCCTCTGGTGGTAGCCGCCCCTGTGGTGACTGACTGGTGGCGGCCCCTCCTGTGGTGACTGACTGATGGTGTTCCCTCTGGTGGCGGCCCCTCCTGTGGTGACTGACTGGTGGCAGCCCCTCCTGTGGTGACTGAACGGTGCTGTTCCCTCTGGTGGCGGCCGCTCCTGTGGTGACTGACTGGTGCTGTTCCCTCTGGTGGCGGCCCCTCCTGTGGTGACTGAATGGTGGCGGCCGCTCCGGTGGTGGCTCCTCTCGTTGCAGAGCACAGGCTCCAGGCCGCTCCGGCTTCAGCAGCTGAAGCAGGTGGGCCCAGTAGTGGCGACTCCCAGGCTCTAGAGCTCAGACTCAGTGGCTGTGGCATCAGCGTGTGGCATCTTCCAGGATCAGGGATGGAACGCGCGTCTCCTGCACTGGCATTGGCAGGCAGATCATTTATCACTGAGACACCAGGGAAGCCCTTACATTTCTTGAGTTTACCTGCTTCTTCATCCTATTTTACCTAGGCCTTCTCTAGTCTGAGGCAGAATGACTGTGCTACATGTGAACATTCACACACTTAGGGTTTAAATGAATACAGATGGTTAACAAGTTAATGACAATTATACTGAAAGTGCACTTCCATTATGTTTTCATCTGTCTAATGGTGATTTTAAGAATCTAAATATGTTTAAGGAAAATTTCCATGGCGTGTTTGATTAATTTTATTTTAATCACTGTTATCATAATTTAAACAAATTGATGAGTCTGTGAGAGATACCCTTCCAGGAGGTTATCAAAGGATCTTTACATACAAGTTTAAAAGTGGTTTTATACCATTTGGGTGTTAATGTTTTATCTTTTTAAAGTAGTACTCCATATATGTCAGCCCTAGGGAATTTCTTGCTTCTCTGTGTCCAATCCAAGACTGATTTGTCTTTAAAATTTGAGCTCTAGCTTGTAGGCATTAGTCACAAATGAACTGATTCCTTCCATCATAGCTTTGCATGCTCATCATCCTAGTCCATAAACTTTAGTCTATGCAGTTAACACATGTGGCAATCCTCTGGACTGGGTGTCACGGCTGCTGTGGCCACACCTACATAGGGTTTCACGTCTGATGAAGGACGTCATGTGTATGTGAAGGTGTAGGCTTCAGTCATGTCCGACTCATTGTGACCTCATGGACTGCAGCCTGCCAGGCTCCTCTGTCCATGGGATTCTCCAGGCAAGAATACCGGAGTGGGTTGCCTTGCCCTCCTCCAGGGGATCTTCCCGACCCAGGGACCGAGCCTTTGTCTCCTGCATTGGCAGGTGGATTCTTTACCCCTGGGTCACAGGGAAGCCCCAGTGACAGATGTCAGCAAAAGAGAAATCTCATCAGTTTTCCTATGGAAACACTTGTCTTATGTATTTATTCCAGAATAGGGAATAAGACAGGAAGGAGAATAAGATATGGAATGGACTCTCCTTTAAAGTTAGCACTCTGAAGTTTATTGATGCCAGGAATTGAGTTCTGAGTTGTGCCACTTTGAGTTAAGGAGATTTATTTCTTTATAAAGAGCAACATAAAATAACCAGTTGCCCACTCCAGGTAATATATATATAATCAAGAGTTAACCTACACTGTATATATCTTCAAGGGGGTTGAATTCTCACTATTACTTGTATTAAAGTTTCGTGATTCTAATTGAGAATCAAAGGAATTTCTGAGATTTTGTTTGTTTTATCTAACTGAATCTAAAATACCTTAAAGTAATGGCTTATAGTTTACATTTTCATTTGGTGTTAGAGTAATTGAGGGCTGTTTGTTCTACTAACCACTGTGGTTATTTCCAGCCATTGATTATTATTTACATTTGAAGAAAAGGGTTTGCAGTCTTTCCCTTCAAAAGAAACCACACCACCCAACATTAAAATTTGTCCCAGAAAGTCAATAAAGCTGGTGAATTCCCATATGTAACACCTCATTCTTTAGTTTCTCTTTGGAACTAAAACGGTTGGGCAGATATCATATAGGTCCTTCCTCATGACTTGTAGTGTCTGGGCAGCCAGGTTAAAATTATTTAAGACCATGTCTACGCCACTGACACTACTGTATTGGGGAGCAAGTGACAGTTGATTCTATACTGTACTATGTATACATTGATAGAGTATCTCAATACTATCCTGGAATCAATCAAAATCTAAATGAAAATAAATTAAAAAAGTGGCAGTCACTCAGTTGTGTTCAGCTGTCTGTGGCCCCATGACTGCAGCCCACCAGACTCCTCTGTCCGGGGGGTCATCCAGGCGAGGATACTGGGCTGGGTCGCTGTACCCTCCTCCAGGGAATCTTCCCAGTCCAGGGATTTGAACCCGCATCTCTTAAGTCTCCTGCATGGGCAGGTGGGTTCTTTATCACTAGCACCATCTGGGAAGCCAGAAAATAAATGACCACTGGAAAAAAGCAATCTTAACTGCTTATTTTACAGTTTAATGCATGTGTGTGTGCTCAGTCATATCCACTCTTTGTGACCCGTGGACTGTAGCCTGCCAGGCTCCTCTGTCTATGGGTTCTCCAGGCAAGAATACTGGAGTGGGTTGCCATTTCCTTTTCCAGGTTATCTTCTCGACCCAGGGATCAAACCCTTGTCTCTTGCGTCTCCGGCATTGGCAGGTGCATTCTTTACTACTGTGACACCTGGGAAGACCCTTTTGTAGCTTAATATCATACTTTTTTGTGAGGTGATTAAGTGAGCATTATTAAATTTTTAACAGCACCAAAAAGCATATAGAAAAATTTTCTTTTTTCTTTCTTTTTTAAAATTTTTACTCTAGTCTCTCAGTTCCTTAGTGCTGCTCTCACAGGAGAGTACCTTTGTTGCCATTTCCTTCATTTTCTACATCAAATCTGTAAAGATGCATGTGTGTGTGTGTGTGTGTGTGATTCTCTAGATCACGTCTGTAAAGGTGTGTCTGTGATTCTCTAGATCACATCTATAAAGGTGTGTGTGTGTGTGTGTGATTCTGTAGATCACGTCTGTTAAGCTGTATGTGTGTGTGTGTGATTCTCTAGATCACGTCTGTTAAGGCATGTGTGTATGTGTGTGATTCTCTAGATCACATCTGTATAGATGTGTGTCTGTGATTTCTTTAGATCACACCTGTAAGGGGGTGTGTGTGTGTGTGTGTGTGTGTGATTCTCTAGATCACATCTGTATAGATGTGTGTCTGTGATTTCTTTAGATCACACCTGTAAAGGTGTGTGTGTGTGTGTGTGTGTGTGTGTGTGTGATTCTTCATAGCACAAATGGGAGCAAACCACTAGGTTATAATTTAAGCACATTTTCATGTCTAAGGAAGTTAAATATTGTTTCATATTCTTTCATTTATGTACCTCATTCTTCTTAGTATTTAAAGAGAATTCATGAATGTTCTTTAACTTGTCATTCTTCTACTGGAGGATATTTAAATTATTGCTGGGATTCTGTGACTGTAAACCATAGCCCACTATACATCCTTGCACAAGTCTTTTTAAACAAACATGAGTGAGTTTACTTTCCTAGGAAAATACTTTTTAATCTAAGAACATAATGGTTGTATTTTTAATATTTCATGGAGCTTAACTGTTGGAAGGAAAGTTATGACCAGCCTAGATAGCATATTAAAAAGCAGAGACATTACTTTGCCAACGAAGGTCTGTCTAATCAAGGCTATGGTTTTTCCAGCGGTCATGTATGGATGTGAGAGTTGGACTGTGAAGAAAGCTGAGCACTGAACAATTGATGCTTTTGAGCTGTGGTGTTGGAGAAGACTCTTGAGAGTCCTTTGGACTGCAAAGAGATCCAACCCGTCCATCCTAAAGGAGATCAGTCCTGGGTGTTCATTGGAAGGACTGATGCTGAAGCTGAAACTCCAGTACTTTGGCCATCTGATGTGAAAAGCTGACTCATTTGAAAAGACCCTGATGCTGGGAAAGATTGAAGGTGGGAGGAGAAAGGGATGACAGAGGATGAGATGGCTGGATGGCATCACCAACTCGATGGACATGAGTTTGAGTATACTTCGCTAGTTGGTGATGAACAGGGAGGCCTGGCATGCTGCAGTTCATGGGGTCGAAAAGAGTTAGACACGACTGAGCGACTGAACTGAACTGAACTAACCTTTTCTGCATTTATAATTTTTATACCATTGCAAATATAACCGAAATAAGACTACAAGGAAAAGTGTGGCTTTAGTGACACAGGGATACACATAATAATCATGATTATTATGTTTCAGTTATTTTGCTATTCCACTAAAGAGCCAGCATCAGTGATCATACCCCTGGTCCAAATCAGAAAGTTTAATATCAGCCACCGCCTGTATTAAATATCTATTAAATTCTTGCTGCCATGAGTCAGGATTAGTGTTTTACATACTTTATTTTATTTAATCCCCACAATATCCCAGAAAGTAACCACTGTTGTTATCCCTACTTTAGAGATGAGGAAATTGAGTCCTTAAAAAGATAACTTAAATTCCAAGGCCTCACAAGTATTGTGACTTAGATGTTAAATATAATAGTGATACACATGCTAGAAAAAATCAGATATCAGGTTATACATAAATTGTTTTATATATTTGATGATTTTAAAAACATTTTATCAGCTTATATGAAATAAAAGATAATATTTGCCTTCAAATGTCATTCATTGATAATAATTTTGAAATATTCACAGGAAATAACACAAAAAGTTATTATTTCTATAAAATACTGTGATATAAAATATTGATAACACTTCTAAATTTCAAATAGAGTCCTTGTCTCTTTAATCACAGAATTTTTATCTTTAAGCATTTCAGTGACAGTATGAGGTTTCAGAATGTTCTTTTGAAATATATTCATTGCAGTCACTTCATCCTCATTTCATAATAGTCAAGACAATATCCATGGACATGAATTTAATTTTCTGAAGTATTTAAGATTGTAACTAATAAGTACATCTTTGTTTTCATCTACGTCAGCAGTTGGTACCAGTACCTTCCTTCTTTGTGTCCATGTAGATTTCATGCTTACTGCAGACCACCTGTGTGCATTTGGTTTTTTCCAATGTTACACAAGCTTTATAATGGAATCAAAATCATTCCACCCTCTCCTCTGTTCTTCCACCTTCCTTTTCATATAAACCCATTCATTTTCACAGAGGGTGCTGAGAGACAAATGAATAAATTGTATTCCTTTGCCTTTCTCTGTAAGCAGTATGTTGGTCTTAAGGTATTGAGTTCTTTTTGTCATTTTTCACATCCTAGGAAGGCTTCCCAGGCGGCCAGTGCATAGAGTAAGAGACAGGAGTTCAATCCCTGGATCAGGAAAATCTCCTGGAGAAGGACATGGCAACCCACTCCAGTACTCTTGCCTGG